GGATGGACAATATACCAATAAATAACCATGCAAGTAAACTCGTCATTTAATCAGAGGCATCAGCTCCAGCCCTCCTTTCCCGGCTTACTTTTTTGTAGCTCTGTGCCCACAACATTTTGCACATTTGGTTATTGCTAATTAATGTGGTTTGTCCCTAAAATATTTTTTACACTCTAGGCCAGAGGTGCTTCACCCTGGGCTTGTAGGCTAACTCCAGCTTGCGGCACCGTGTCATCCGGCCTGCAAGGCTCCCAACAAATTCAGAAATTTGGTGACAGACGAGCACTGGCACCACTCCCTTGCTGCTAAATTTCCAGACTCATGGGGAGCCCCAGACCCCACACCCTGGGATCCAGTGCCAGATCCCAGCTTTCAGGACCAGGTGGCGACAACCCCAAGGCCCAATCCCAGTGTGGGGGCTGGGGGAAAGGGGTCTGTGCCAAGTCTCTGGGATGCGATCCTGTCACATAGGGGTAGTGTTGTGCCCCTGGGGCTTAGTCCCCAATGAGAGGGGGCAGTGCTAGGGCTCAGTCCCAGAATGCAAGGGTAGCAGGGTGTGGTGGCAACCCCTGGGGCCCAATCCCAGCACGTGGGGCAGGGAAAGGGTAGTGCCAGGCTCCAGGGCCCAATTCTGGCATGTGGGGCTCCAATCAGCCTGTGGACTGGCCCCTGGCCACCCATCTGGCCCATGGGACCAAAAGATCGAGCACCACTGCTATAAGTCTTAATTTTTTACTGTTCAAACAGTGGAAGTACACTTTGAACCTGCTTGCTAAAACAGATCTGATCTTCCCTTCATTCTGATTCAGCCAAGACCTTTTGCCCATAATGATTGCCATGTTTCGTGGCCTTCCAGGTACTTTGTGTCACTGTACACAACAGTTCTCAAGGCTGCTTGACAAACGGCTGGCTTGTCCTCTCCAGCATCTTCTCAGAATAGCATCATATTATGACTGCATTCATAACCGCAAGAGCATTTGATTTCTGCGCTGTACTCATTACCTGCCTGACCTTACTGTGCCCAGAAGTGACCATAGGTGCTCTATGTAAGATCAGTCTGCGTAGCACTAAAGAGCAAATAACTGTGCTTACAGGGAAATGCCAGCATGGCTTGATGTCACTTTCCTTTCTTTAAAAAAAAACAAAGCATAAAAATGCAGTAATTTTATAGAAGATAAAATTATAGGCCAAAATGTTCAGACTTGGGTGTCAGAAGTTCAACTTCTAAATTTAAGTATCTTGAATTTCAGACTTTGTTAGTGACCTTAAATCCCTGTAGGTTCAATGGGAGCTACAAGCCCTTGGCATTATTGGAAGTCAGCCTGCTTTTATTTAGACACCCAAGTGTGAATTTAGGAGTTTAACTTTCAGGCATTGAAATTTTAAAATGTTGGCAAGAAGGTTATTGATACTGGTTGAATAAATAGATTAGTAGCTTCAAGCATGTGATCTTCACGGTATCATGCTACACATAATGAAGAGGAGAAGGGGATCATGTTCTCTAAAGTAGGGGTGGGCAAAATATGGCCTGTGGGCCAGATGTGACCTGCAAGGTCATTCTGTCTGGCCTGCAGGGCCCCTAAAAAATTTATAAAATTAATATTTATCTGCCCCTGGCTGCCTGTCACGCAGCCTTCGATGGCTTGCCAAAACTCAGTAAGCGACCTTCCACCCAAAATAATTGCACGCCCCTGCTTTAAAGGCTCCAGCATTATCCTCTGCATCAGGATACAAGATCCGTGTGAGCAGGTCCTAAGCCACAGATCTCGCATTCTACCAGTAAAGTTACTCAAGCTCCAAGGTTAATCACAGTGGAAGTGGCAACAACTATTGTAGTTGAGGTTGCAAAATGGTTTCTGTTCTAAACCCCTGTTTTCAGTTGTTCCTGATCGTATGACTTCCACTTTGGGGATGAAGTGTTCCATACTCTTATCTCTTCAAAATAGATATTTTTGGCTTAAATTCTGAGCAAAGCTGGTTTCAGCTATTTTTGAGCACAATGGGAGTACAGTAGAGGGAATATTATAGCAGGAAACATATTTTTGATGAGTGGCTTGAGAGCTAAATGGCATCAGGGTAGAACGCTGGTATTTGACAAGGAAATATACCTCATTAAGCAATACA